GTGTGGCTTCTACGGTGAACTATAAGTTAGTCATGAGCCACAATAGACCCATCTGGGTCGCAGTGGAAGGCGACGAGATCAGATCATCCCACTCATTTTCAACCTAAGTTACCGCGAACAGTATGAAGTAGGGAGATTGATAAGCAGCAAAGACTGTAGGTTAGCAATCTTGGAGGGGACAAATAAATCGTTCATGGACGTGGGCGTACACAAACTAGAAAATATGAAATTTACCACCCCTAAAAAGACAACAAAACTAAAACCTCTATTAGAACAAAAAGTGAAAGTTACCCTAAACCTAAAAAATAGGTACAATACACCATCTGAAGTAATAAAAAAGAGGTCGAGAGCGACGATAAGTCGGAAAACCGCAGTACCAAGAGAATCAAGCCAAATGCACCAAAAAAACAAGGCAAATAAAAAACCAAACATGCAAGTAGAAAAAAGTAATTATTTCTCCTATAGTCATCAACGAGGTCACACGAAAAACCATAAATGGTTACAAACATAAAAGCAGCGGTAAAAGGCGAGCTTACAATCAAACACGCAAATCAATTAACTATTTATGAATGGCGAAGATGATTATACAAGAAAATTAAAAAACATAAAGATAGGAAATATACCTCATCAGACCTACTCCCAAAAGCAGGATAATTCCCATCCTTTGTGCTGAGAGGTTTAACGAACGGTGCAGAAATGGACATTAAAGGAGATTTACAGGAGTACCTAATATAAGAGCAAAGGCTAGAGAAATACGAGTACCAAGAACCGACCGTTCTACCTAGTAATAACCGATCCAGCAATTACACTGGATTACTTAAACAAAAATGCCAAAGTACCTAATTCTCAATACAAGGATCATCTGAGAGCCGAGAACATCAGTAAAATTTTTGATTGAATGTCATAATTGTTAGCTGTGGAGCCATACCATAGCCAACTGCGGACATTCATCAAGGTTACTCAAATGCGCGGAGGACCACCACACAAGTTTCTGCACGAAAACCAGAGAAATGTGCTAACTTCGTTGGTGATCACCCTGCGAATTACTCGAAATGCAGACAGTACACCGAAAAAGTAGAAAGCAAAAAAGAAAGCAAGAACAAAAAAATATGTTCAGGCACCGCCACCGAGGAGCAACACATGGGAAAACCGACGGAACCAGAGGGAAGAAAGACAATTTCAAAGGGAGGAGTTCCCAGAGCTGATAAGCAGAAGCTAGGGTTCCAATCCAAGGCTAACGCGTTCTAACTAACCCTGTAGGCGACCCCAACCTATAGAAGATACCTTCCAGGCCGTCAGCAATGAGTTACGACTAAAGGTTCCCAACCTTTTTTTGGCCTACCGCACACATTTCGAAACTTTCCATCGAATACGTTTGAGTATTTTCCAGAGGGCGACAGTTGTTCCTCGAAGCTTCCTAAATTTGCGTTGGATCAAAATGACCCCTTAGCTCTCTTGATCGCATACCGGCGGTAGGCGGTACCTCACTAGTTGGAAACCACTGAGTTAGGCCCGTATTTATAAACAGAACTTACTTGAGTCGGACTTGGGTAAGTCGTCCTTGAACGAAAATCGAAGTTCGGTTATATCGGGTGAATTTAGAGATGGGTAGTAACAAATCCGTAAATGTATTTAACAGTTACAGATTTGCTAAAATCCATCTCTAAATTCCAGTGTAACACCGGAACCACCTAGAACTTTAGAGAGGTTGTAACCGAACTTCAATTTTAGTTCAAGGACGACTTACCCAAGTCCAACTCACGTAAGTTCTGTTTATAAATACGGGCCTTAGACGAACTTAACAGCCAGGTTAACCTCTCAGAATTGGAAAAAGCGGTGAGAGAATTAAATTCACAAATACGTACCAACAAAGATTACTTTGATACTGTTTTTTACAACAATATAAATTCATACAATTTCAGAATATGAACTTGACGAGGCAAGCTAAGATAAATATAATGCGAACGGGTTGAATAACAAGAACCATCTTGTTAATAATTTCATTCACATGCATAATTTTGGCAAAGTCCTAAGTCCTAATTTGAGAGACGCTAAAATGGTGGTTCCCACCTTATCGAGACTGAGGCCCACAAGGATAAACTCGTAGCGTAACAAAAACGAGAAATGATTTAACTTAGAACGAAAGCCGATAATAGTATTAGGACGTTGAATTTTTTGGTTTTTAAAGCATTAGCATTAAATAGGTTAAACCATGTAATGATTTTCACAAGCCTTGATTTTTAAAACCATTCTATATCGCCTTTTGATTAGGATTTAAAAACTTGTTCGAGATTTAACCAATAATAATTGGCCCTTTTACCTCTTAAGCCTGCTCATGTAAAATATTTGGGCTCCTTACTTCGCCTATTTATATAATATTAATAAAGGACAGAAGGATGAGTATTGCAACTATGTTAAAGGAAATAAATTGGCTTTCAGTTCAGAATTATGTTCAGTACATGACTGATATTCATTTATAAAATAAAAATGACAGTACCATCGCATTACATCTATTAGAAAAAATTCAATATAATTCGTAATATCTTAACTATAATGCAAGAAGCCAATCTGACTTTCATGTACGGCAGGCAAGCCATCACTAAAAGTTCCCAAAATACAATTTTCATTAAAGGTTTAAAAAATTTAATAGACTGCCTACAGAAATAAAAAAAAAACAACAATAAATATATTCAAAAGTAACCTCAAACAATACTTGATAAATAAACAGAACGGATATACTTTCTTGTGATAATACTCTTGAAACCTGCCCTTTAAGTATTTCCCTTAGTTTATTGTTATTTTACCCCTCGTTTTACCCGCATTTATTATAAATTATTTCTGTTTTGAGATCATGTACTTTATTTTAAAAAAATACTTGATGTTATATTATTACTACTTACTATGTTTAAATTATTAATAGTTTTGCGACGATAGGTTATAGCAACTTACAGCCACAAAGCTATTTTTGTGTTAAAGTAGATTCATAGAGAGAAATGTAATTTACAAAGGCCTTCTTTCAACATACAAATAAATGACAACTTTATAATTAAAATGAAAAACACAACAAAATACCTCGGTACCAAGGTAAGAAGATTCATTTTTAAATTTTATGAATTGAGGAAATTTATGACTAGGAGTTTACTAATTATTATTTACAATTCGCTGGTTGAATATGTAATCTAAAATTGTATAATAAAAAGTTTCTACAAAAAACCAGCATTATATCCTACCTCTCTTTTATTAATAAAAAAGTGCTTTGTATAAGAACATTATATTGTCTGTTTTGCTGTACCTTTATTTATGGAAAGCCTGAATTGAGATACACTATAAATTATTTGAAATAAATATCAAAAGAAGTATACATATTTAAATAATTTGACATTTAAGAGATATTCACACATCACAGTTGACATCTTGGCACAGTCAAACATTATTCTGATTTTTGGCAAATAAAATGGCCGGTTAATTATTCTATGGGGTTGCGACAGAGAGCCAGTAAATTTTATGAAGATGTTTTTGTGGCTAGGAGCGAAATAGTAGTACGCCTAAGTTAGCATCACCATAAAAAGACATTTTTAAGAAACTGCTTATCTATTTTTCATAAATTGGCAGGCTTGGCTACTAATTTCGAATAAAAATAGCCTCCAAAATGGCTATGATTGCAAGTATGAAGGTCGCAACTCGCCTTAGAAATTTCACCTTTACTATCAACAGCTGTTGTTTGACAGGTCGTTAGAGAATGTTTGCAATTTATGAAATGTTAAGAATGTTGGGAATGTTGACGTTAGAAATAATTGAAATTCACATAAGTCACATAAGAAATGCATATGCGGATTTTAAGAAAATTGATATTAAAGTAGTTAGGATGGATCAAAAATTCTGAAAATCAATAGGGTTCTAAATTAGAAGTAATTATTCAAGAAAATCAAAACCGCAAGTCAATCAGAACTTTCGTTCTAGAGTTATCGTGTCGGCATACATACACACATACGACCAGACGAAAATTTTTTTTTGCATTTTCGGACTCAGAATGATCGGAAACATGAAAAAAAGTTTTAAAAAATGGAGATAAGAAGATTTTTTCGTCTGCACGAATGCAATACTGAAGTGCCTCAGTAAACAGATACCAGACTTAGTGAAAACGAGACATACAAAATACGAGATTACACAATTATTAAACAATACAGACGAGATAATAACTCGAGGAATTGGGGATAGAGTTCTTTGTCAAAACAAACATTGAACAATTTCTGTATTTTATATAAATTTTTATTATGATTTCGATATTTAATGAATTAGTTCTGTTTATTTTTGTTGCAGTATCATTTCGAGGTAATAAACTTTGTTTACAATGAAAATGTCAAGTAATAATCATTCTATGAAAGTGGGAAAGTACCCTTGATACAAAAAATTACAGAGGTATGATACTTATCCGTCGAAATCTCATCGAGTTCGTGCATGACGTATTGTAGTGTAGAATATGGTTATGAGTAGATTAAAATTTATTTTCACACGCTGTTTTCGATCAGCTGATACCTCCAATTTATAAAAGCCATGCGTTCACACTACAATGCTTCACCGTGACGTAGTATCAATCGGCGCAATATCGTAACCTTATTTTTACAGTATCATGGAAAGTACCGACTCAAATGATAAATTTCACAGACAACTCCAATTATGATTTTAGTGTTACCAAAAGAAATATTTTTATTTTGTTGTCACTGGAGAAAGAGCGCACGTTTATGTTTTCAAATATTATCATTACATTTTTTTGTTAGGTTCAATGGTATAATAAGTACAGCGACAATTAAGATTATTTTTAGAAATATGTCGGGGAATATCTATTTATCAACTAGATATGTATAAACATATGTGAAGATTTTAGATGGGTTTTAAGACAATTGATTAATTTGATCCTGTTTTTCATTAATCTAATCTAATATTCTTTCATATTAATCTATTTTATAATACAGAAATACATAAAAATATTAAATACTTACAGGGTGTATCATCTTCTACGACTTTGGGAGCAAATAGGGATTTGAAATGAGGTTTGCAGTATAGGTTTCCCTCGTGACTGACATATGTTTCCACGCTGTAATAAAAAATACATAATTTATTAAAAATACATATATTTTTAACATTAATACTATTAGTCCAGTAAATGAAGGACTGAAAAGATCGAAAGCTGTAAAAAATCGCTGATGAGTTCCCACATAGCTCAATTTGTAGGTGATCGCAGGTGTTTTTAAATGAGAAAATCCTTAACGCGTTCTTGGTACCGGAAGGGGCTGAAAATGGACCCCTAAACTCTGAAAAACGGGTTTCCCGCTAATATCTAGCTAAATATGCAAATTAGAGAATTTTTGTTCGGACAAAAAATGAAGATCAGCTCATTCTCTACAAAAATGATGCCTACCAATTTTTTCGCAATGCCAATATTTTTTGCAAAATCAGACTTCGAAAAATCCATAGTTTTCATATTGAATAGATATGGTAGTTTCTTGCCGAATTTCCGCTCGATGGGTTGGAAATGCATTGATCTTCATCTTTTGGACTTTAGAGACCAATTGCAGATGGCGCCAGCACCTTTGCTCTTCTCGCTAAATTACGGAGTCCGTAAATGAAAATCTCGAAAATAATCGATTATTCGACAATTACTAGCGGATTTCACCTGATTTTTTTCTGCAAAGTAGCGCTTGGGCTCTCTCAATTGTATTAGCGAATGTTCTGTGCAATTTGAGTTGCAAATTTATCAGAAAATTGCAAAAATTTATTTTTCCTTGTGCCAAGGTCTTGAATCTCGTTGTTTTGGCTAAAAGCAAATGACAAGTTTTAGAGCGTGGTGAATATTCACCATACAACCATTCTAAATATTTTTCGCATTTTTGCGATTTTTTGCAAACTTTTTTCGGAATAATATGGGTGCAGGATTTCCGAAAAAATACGCTAGTCTTTGAGAAGAATTGGTTGGATCATAGTTAATAATGATAAATACTTCCAATTTTGGTCAACTCTGCCATGGTGTACATTTCTTCCCCAGTTTCCATAATATAAGCAACAATTCTCTCAATCCAGCCTTACCAGAAGCTTTTTCAGACAATTGATGGAATGCCAGTCGACAGACTTCATGATATATTGCACCAACAACTGTGAGGTCGATCCCAGAAATTATTTCTAGCGTCGCTTTATACTTTTCTATATCATTATGAGCTGTGATCTGATTCAGAAGTGTGGTCTTGAATTCTGTGTTCGAAACAAGTAAGATGGCACGCTTCTTTACCAAACTGCTCTTTCTTTTCTCCTTTTCTATCGAAGCAGGAAACTGACAGAACAATTATTGTTTTTGAAGTCAAAGCCACTATAGGAGCGCTTCTTTTGTCTCTTCGGGCTCCTTAAATGGTCCAACCGTCTTGAAGAGTGCTTGTCAAACTCGTTGCACGACAACTTTATGGGATCTTTATATGTGTGGTATATCCCATCAATAAATAAATACGAATTCATGAAAATATAATTTTAAAATAAATTGTATGTCATGACATGTATATAAAATTGTAAATTCTAAAGTCATAATTATTATAAACAATATTTTGTTTCCCTCGCGATGAGTTCAACCTTTTGTCTTCGCTAGAACTGCCACGAAAGGTTATCTAAATGATGACGGCAATTTAATGTGTATGACGTAATGAAAATGAAAATGAAAAAGATATGTAGTGCAAGTATGTCGCTACATACCTCCCCCTTATATAAAAAAATGTATTGTCAGTCATCAAAAGTCGATAAGGTGTTGATTGTTGCATATTTCTATATCTACGAGTACCTTCACCTTAATCAAAACAAAATTTTAGTATGACTCTGTATATGAAATTGATTGAAATTTTTAATTTAATTGTCAAAAATATGTCATCAGTAATGTCAGTATTTTTTATAAATAATGTTGTATTTTAGATCGTGTTCTGGATGAATTATCCATTCTTTGATTATCGAAATTGCCCCGTTGTTAAGTGTTTAGTAATTCTATGTTATCTAGCAGGTTCTTTCTATTATATAAAGAATACTGCCATTGATACAATTAAGAATTACCATACTATTAGGACAGTTAGTGTCCTAAATAGAAAAACACCAACGATAAGAAGGCATTAACAGTTAAAAAATTCTACGATCTAATAAAAAGTAATGTTAATCATGACGTACAAATAGAAATATTTTTTGTTTTTTTTTAAATCTTTATTCTTTAAATATCAATGTGTAAATGTGCCTATTTGGTAAGTTATTTGTTTTTATTTAGTAATTACTATTATGCAGACAGGTTCTTCCTTATGCGAAGAATACTGTCAATACAAGATATAAGTAAAAACTGATTTTATTGTTCTTTTGGACAATTATGGTTCTCTGGGACAATTATGGTCCTTAATAGAGTAAAAAATATTAAATATACTAGTTACATGTAGTTGGACAATTAAGGTCCTTAATAAAACTACTGGTTGTATGTTTGGTACAATTACGGTTCGTAATAAAAAAATGCTATTAAATATATTTGGACAATTAGGGTCCGTAATAAAAAATGCTAGTTGCATGACTTCGGTTATGTAGTGCTCATTTGCGTTTCGTTAATTTGTACGTTATTTTCTTAATTAAGTCGTCATGATTAGAATTGGTCATTTGTAGAGTTTATTAAATAAATAGTCGGTTAAAATGCTTTTTACATGGTCAAAAATATGAAAATAATGTCAAAAATGATAACTAATGATAGAAAAAATGAATATTTTCAATTCGTGGCAGTCAGTGACAAAAAGATTAAACTCACCGGGTTTAATGTATCTGGAGTCCAATCCACGTATCTTGTTCGGAACTTTTCGGAATTTTCCGGAGGCGTACTGGATCTACATTTCTTCTTAGTAGGACCCGTTAAAGAATCCGGGTTATTGGGAACCGCAGCAGGCTCAAAAAACTGAGGTACGGCCAAAAATAAAGCCGTCGCTAACGCGTACTACCCATAAGTATCTCACCAACAAATAGTATCAGATAGATGTATCCTCAAAATCTTTGAAGGTCGGGCATTCTACGGGGTCACCAATTGTGGGATCTTTATATGTGATATATCCCATCAATAAATAAATACGAATTCATGAAAATATAATTTTAAAATAAATTGTATGTCATGACATGTATATATATAAATTGTAAATTCTAAAGTCATAATTATTATCAACAATATTTTGTTTCCCTCGCGATGAGTTCAACCTTTTGTCTTCGCTAGAACTGCCACGAAAGGTTATCTAAATGATGACGGCAATTTAATGTGTATGACGTAATGAAAATGAAAATGAAAAAGATATGTAGTGCAAGTATGTCGCTACAAACTTGCCTCGAGATTTAATAATATAGCGGTCCCTACACATGTTGTGCATTCGTACAGAGGATTGTTTCTGGAGAAATAGTTGGAAATTATCGCATCTCTCCTTGCTCACTCGAATAAAATTTTCTAAACCACGAGTAACATTTACACCGTCATCCACCATTACAAAGAAAGCATTCTGGAACGGAATCCGCTTCCATTTCAACAACACCAAGAGCTACCAAAAAATAGATGATTCAACCGTTAGAACAATTTCACCAAGTTTTTAAAGTTGAGGCAAAATAAAACAAACCTTATTTTCTGCTTCCAACAAAAAAATCCTTGAATATTCTTTCTTGTAGACAAGAATAACGTGGACATGTCTCACTTTAAACTCTTCTTATTTTTTTATAACTGAATTAATTTAATGAAAAATATTTAATGAAAAAATATCATCAGTACATCAATAATCCTGTCAAGTCGACGACTCCAAAACAGAGATTGTATACAAACACATGCAGACAACTATCGCCGCGTGGGTACACGAGGTTAGGTTATATACAATATCATGGATCTCAGAGGGGGAGCGTAAAAATGAAGTATATAATTGTAACAACCTTTTTAGAACCAAGAACGGATATGTGGATTGACTTATATCAATGGAAAGGTCAAAATACAAGCTTTACTTTGATCTAGTTCAGTGGTCGCCAACCTCTCAATGTGTTGAGCTACTTTGTTAATTTTGGAATAAACAGCGAGCTACCCACACGGAAGCCACGTAACGCAACGTAAATGAAATAATCCAAAGTTAATTTATCATTATATGTATTTATTTTACTATTTAACTGGTAATACATAATACATATGTACTAATAACAAAATAACTAATATTACTAGTACGTACTTGTTCATAGCTACATTCCTACCTACCAAACGAAGGTGTTTGAAAAATAAACATAAACTTTTATCCAACCACAACGGCATGTCACGTAAGATTTAAAAATAGTTAATAATAACAACAAAAAAGTAACGCACTATCATGAACATAAACATTGAAAAATAAAAAAACACGTTCAATGAGAAGGCTGACACTCAGACTCATCGATAATTTTTTTAATGTTTGCAGTATAATTTGATACAGCCATTCGAATACAATTATCCAAATGTTCATCTGTAAGTCGATTGCGATATTTGTTCTTAATAAACTTCATATTGGAAAAAGAAGATTCACACAAATAGGTTGAATTCAATAATGCTTTCACTTTCAAGGCAACACGGCATAGAACTGAATATCTGTCTTTACTTACAATAGGCCAGATACATTTGGTACTTAAGACTAACGATTTTAAGGCTAAATCATTTTGAAACTCAATTACTTCCATTTCTGTTGCAGCGATGTCTTCTGCAGCGAAGTTCTGCATAACACAAGTTGCAAACTGTTGGATATCAATTTCCATAAAGGGTGAAACAACAAACTGCGCTACTAAAGCCATTTCGTTGAAATCCTTAAAACGATTTTTGAAGTTATTCTTCAGGGTAGAAACTATTTCTACATGATATTTGCTGTCATAGGGTTCTAATGGATTTTGAGATATTTTTTCTGAAAGAATAGGAAAATGCTTGGCATCGCTGTTAATTAGGTTTTGTTTCCAAAACTCCAGCTTTTTGAAAAATGCTTTTATATCAGAAATCATTTCCGCTAGTTCTTTGTCTCTCCCCTGAAGCTGCAAATTAAGTTCGTTTAATTTCTCTGTAAC